GGGGGGGGGGGGGATATCTAAAGTGTTTCTTGGACATTGTTTTCTTTGGTGCATTAGAACGATATTAAAGTTGGACAAATTTTTTATATAAAAATGAAACTTAGTGGTAGATGGTTTCCCGCTGAACTTCAGCAAATTTGTAAGAGCTTTATCTCAGTTACTTTCTAACAGCATCAGAAATGTTTCTGAATGCTTTTGGACATATTTCGTGTAAGCAATATTGATGCACATCGTTGTATATACAGGGTAGTCGTTTAACTTGACACAAACGAATATCTCGGAAAGGAAGCATTTTACGAAATAAATGTTCGAACAAATTTCGTTTGGTTTCAAGGGGGAAAAAATGCTGTGCCGTTATTTTTTATTCGCAGCGGTTTTCAAGGCTTTTCCAAGGTCAACATTGTTTTTTTAAATGGGAATCTATATATTTTATTGCAGAATGTTATGCTATACAGGGTGTTCCGAAACTACCTGACCCGGTGGTTATGGCGGTGTTCGGGAAGCTTCACTGATCACGAAAATGATCTTCTTTTTGTCCGGAAGGTCATAGTTTTTAAATGGGAGCAGGTCAAAGTTGACCAATCAGAGGGAGGCGTCAAGAAAAACGTAAGTACCTATGAACTCTGAGTTTTCTTCCCTCGCTTTTGTTTCTCGGTGGCTTCGGGCAGGATGACGTCAGCACATGCCTATTGGAAACAAGAAACAAGAAACAAGCCACCGAGAAACAAAAGTGAGGGAAGAAAACTCAGAGTTCGTAGATGCCTACGTTTCTCTTGACGCCTCGTTCTGATTGGTCAACTTTGATCTGCTTCCATTTAAAAACTAAGAACTTTCGGACAAAAGGAAGGTCATTTTCGTGATCAGTGAAGTCTACCGAACACCGCTATACCCACCGGGTCAGGTAGTTTCGGAACACCCTGTATCAAAAACCAATTAACGTTTATCTGAAACATTTTTTAATAGGACCAGAATTTTCAATGTTATTTCAACATCAAGCGTTGACCCCGGGATTAATAAGTATAGCGATTTTGTAGATACGAAAATCGGAAGAGAAGAAAAAAACTTAATTAATGTTTTTTTCTTGCGTAAATAACCTATTTATTATTAATATTGCCAAATAATATTATAATAAATGTTTGAAATGGTCTCCTTCAACATCAATGCATTTTCGAACTCTCTTGAGCTAGCAAAAAGCCTTTGTTCGAACATTTTTTTCGTAAAATCCTTCTTTTCTGAGATATTCTTTTGTGCCAAGTTAAACGACTCACTCTGTAAACATTTGTTTAAACACTAATGCTTGATAAATGATAATAATTTAACATTAGAGTTACGAGATCCGTAGAATTTCGCGGATTTCGTACTTCATAAGTAAAATTACAGAAATTATTACTATTATTTCTTTTAAATTTTTGCTGACTTTTATTAATGTTACCCATTACCCGTTATCGAGAAATGTCCGTAAACCTTATTGTTAAATAATGATCACGAAAATTTTAAGAAATGTCTAATATCAGTTATCAAAAATCTTTGGTATCTGTAATTAGAGAATTTCTATGTAGCGGGTACATGATTATCAAAAATTTACTGAATCATTGAAATCATAACCTTCAAATCCACGACTTCGTTGGGATATTTATCATGGCCAAAAAAAACCACACTCTGCGAAATCGTAAAATATACGATAAACACCAAAAAAATGTGATATGCAATTAGTATTATATTCGCGACGCAATTACCATTTATAGCAATTTCTCGATGTTGCTAAATTTCAAATTTTCTCATATTGCAGAATTGCTCAATATCTTTCACATAAGCGTTTCAATAATGTATTGCGCGCACTATAGTATAGCGATATTTACATAAGAATTGCACTGTCGGCACACCGCAAGTTATAGGAATTATAAGAAGTATACTCACTACGACACCTATAGGAAATAGCAATGGAAACGTCCACTTACGACTGCTACGCAGATTCTATGCATCCATGCTTGTTTTTCTACCGCGAACATACTGCTTACCTTGCACAAGTCTGTCAGTGGTTTTTTTTTTAAATATTGCAGTTGAAGTCAGCAACTTCTCTGCTAATTTTCTACGACTTGTACTTGCTGGGTAGATATTAGTTTATTTTACGTATTCGAATGAATCGTCAATACTTTCTTTCGAAGTTTGAGGGACAGATTGATATGAAAGAAAATTGATCTATAGAACGCGAATAAAATGTTTAATAAATTTTTCTTGTATATCCTGGAACCGATCGCAGGAGTCGTAGCGTCTCACTGCGATCCTGACCAATTAATGCGGAAACGAGAGATCGAAAAACAACGGGTAGAATAACAACGTATGATTGCCTCACCCTTGCAGGTCTCCTTCTGTCTTAGGAGGGGTATGTCATGCGAAAAAGCTTCTTGAACCTTCTAGAATCTTCTGAATTTTCGATGATTCTTGTCCGTGCTAAATCGTACAATATCGTTTTCAGAGTCGGCAGCCCTCTCTAATTTTTTGTAGCAATCCCCTTACCCTCGTCCTCGGAAAAGCTTCTAAAACCTTCGATAATTTCCTGTTTCCTCTATTTAATGCAGATTCCGGACAGCACCCGTATTTCGGAAGCCCCTTGGACTTTGAGTTCGATTCAAGGAATTTTGCTTTTGTCAGCGCTTCGATTCCAGGAAATTTGCAAGCCTTTATTAGAATTTGATCTTCAGAATATAAAAAATTCCAGATATTGTTTGTTTAATATTCTTCAGAATTTGAATTAGTCAATAGCCTCCAGTAACCTTTATGCGGAAACTCCTTTGACCTTGAGGTCGAATCCAGGAATTGCAAGGGTTATTGTCGGTTTCCGCCGCATCAATATGCTCAAGAGAAAAGCTGATTCTAAAAATCTACAATGATTTCTCGGAATTCGTCCTTAAAAGTTTCACAAAAACTTCAGGAATTGAGTTAAAGCGACAGCGAAATCTCCACTTGCTAATCCTAAAAAAAAAGAGTTCCCTGCACAAAAGGGCGAGATGCACTGTGAATTTGTCATTAATCAAGAGATCACATTCGACTTATGCGAAATATTCAGAAACAACGTGAATTGAAAGGTTAGAATAGATTTGTTCGAAAGAATGTCGAAATTAATTTTAAAAATTAAAGAAATCGTGTGTGCTGAAAATATTGTATTCCTTTTGAATAAAATACAGCAATATTTTATTTTAATTTACAGCCTACACATATGAAATGTGGCACTTTGAGAAAAAAATAGTCTCAGGTAAACGTAGGAGATAGCCGCATTTTCCAGACATAAAATTCCGTATCTGGACTCAAAATCATCGTACGGGTTACTTTGACAGGTGTGACCACGAAGAGTTAAGGAAGATAAATGGTATGATTAACGATATGTTCTTCAGAAATAGTTATTATATGAATGTACAACAACAACATTAAAATGTTTAATACATAATATAGATTTCATCGCATATACATATATACAGGGTGTTCCGAAATTACTTGACGAACGGGGTATGGCGGTGTTCGGGAGGCAACACTGATCACGAAAATGACCTTCTTTTTCTCTGGAAGGTCATAGTTTTTAAATGGGAGCAGATCAAAGGTGATCAATCAGAGGGAGGCGTCAAGAAAACCGTAGGTACCTACGAACTCTGAGTTTTCTTCCCTCGCTTTTGTTTCTCGGTGGCTTCGGGAGGCATGACGTCACCCGAAGACATGCCTATTGGAAACAAGAAACAAGAAACAAGTCACCGAGAAACAAAAGCGAGGGAAGAAAACTCAGAGTTCGTAGGTGCCTAGCTTTGATTGGTCAACTTTGACCTGCTCCTATTTAAAAACTATGACCTTCAGGAAAAAAGGAAGGTCTTTTTCGTGATCAGTGGTGTCTCCCAAACACCGCCAATCCCGTTGGTCAGATAATTTCGGAACACCCTGTATATACATTGCGAAATTTCTTGTTGAATGAGGAGCGACTTACCGATATCTTCTGTGAATTTAGCATGTCGCTCGTGTCTAAATTGGACATCATTAAACTAAATTCTGTGTATATTGATCTGTCTTCTTCAAATTGATTGCTTAATATTATTCAATTGAATTTGGAGGTCTTCATGCTCTAGAAATAGAATCACAGTCATGAAATATTTGGTTAACACAAATTTATTATTATCCAGTCATTGAAAGGTTCCATTGCGTTTCATTTTAATTTAGGCTGATTCAATCAATTTTTCTGTTAGTTGACAGTTTATCTTTACACTTTTACAGAGCCAGTAACACCAATATGAAACTTAAATGTACGTGTCATTTTATCAGGATAGATCTTGGTTATACTTAATTCACAAAATGACATTTAAATTTCATATTATCAAAACAAAGATGAATTTCAAATTATTTATTATGTTCTAGACAATAAATTACCGTTAGATTGATCTTATATATATTTATTTATTTATTTACTTATTTTTCATAAGTGGGACAAACAACTTGTATTCTATCATCGCGCAATAGTTCATATATCTGATAAGTAAGAAGATACAAAATCAAATTGCGTACCAAAGCGATCTAAACTTGGAAGTGGATATTAATATTGTCGAGCTTTGTGTGCACACATTATCGAGTTTCATGAATTTTTAATAATCGATATTATTGTAATACTTTATTTCATTAAAAGAAAGGGAACGTGATAAAATATTTTCGAAATATATTCCAAGGTGTGCCGCAACGAAATCATGTAGCAAGGTAAAGAAACATTGAAACAATAACAATAAAACCAATGACGCAGATACGATAAACATCGCTGAAACGTCATATGTAATCAATTGTAGATTTTTTGCAGAGCGTCTATGTATGGAAAGTAACGTCACTTTGTCGTTTCGCAACAACGTAAGTCGAGTTATTTTTGCTTCCTCATGGAGGAAGCTATGTGACGGTGGAAAATTTTATTTTCGAGATTTTCATGTTACTATGTTCATGTTACAATGGTTGGTTGGTATTGCATTTGGGTCGAATCCATCAAGAAGTTTTGATTTTATAATATTTTGAATTTTTCGAAAAATCAAATTTATCAATATAACTCCCGTCAACTTTAATCGATTGAGCTCCAACTTTCCAAAAGTATAGAACATCGTTCAGCCGTAATATGTGTTAAATTTGGCAGAGATAAGCAAAACGGATCGGATTCTACATATATTCAAGTTTTTTAATTTTTAAGTCCCTATATGAGGGAGTCAAGGATTTAAATTTTTCAATTTGCTTCCTCTGAATCATAGGCAGTGAATGGAGATTCATCTATGAGGAAACCAAAGATTTAAAAAAAATGAAAATGCTTCCTCATGTAGGGACTTCGTACACTATACCTACGATTCGGAGGAAGCAAATTGCAAGTTTCAACTTTCGGCTTGTTTTACATGTTCTAAATGTATACACCAACAATAATTGTTATATCATAAGATGTGCAATAGGAGATTTTATCTAGTACCAGTTTAGGAATTTATTAGTTTTGTGGTAACATTGATTTGGAATATTCCAGAATGTATCGACAGTTCTATACATTTTATTATATAACTGGTCTCTAGTGTGAATCGAACTCTGAACTTTAGTTTGATTGAACGATTAATGAATTAAGGAAATAAACATAACAGAAGCACTGCGTAACATCCCTAACTTTTCGTTACATAATGTAAGATGATAACTCTTCAATATATTCCAATAGACCAATCAATTTTAAAATACTTTCCTCGAGTTATGTTAGATCAAGGTTATTTTTTATATATATAATTTAGTATCTATTGTATGACAAACTGATGTGACCAACCTGCTGTTAATCGAGGTATGTTTCGATTTTTTCCCGTTTCATTTTCAAAGTGGAAATACGAATGGGAAATATCTCGTACTTTATTCAGATTCAATACTATATATCTATATATATAATGTATGGAATGATGGTGTTTAGTCCATACATGTATGTATTGTAACGAAAACAAAAAAGATATTGATAGAAATATACTCTAAGGTACGACAAGATCTTTCGCTTACAATTGACTCGATACTCTTTCCGAATTTCCCAGGACTACGCAGTACGAAACAAACTATACTTAGTGAAATGCCGGATGGGCACCAGACGCATCGTTCCGTCACGATACCTAAAGGAACTACCCGGAAAATATGAAAAGAGGTCCGACTAGCAGGAACTAACAAAAAGATATGGTAGAGAGGCTGGGTCAACGCTGATGTTAAAGAAAGGAGAGATAGAGGAAAAGATAGTGAGAAGAAATCAGATTGAGAAGCCATGAAATTCAGTAACAGAAACCATAACACATTGGTCAATTTATTCTGGGACTTCGAATATAATAAAATTAACAATGTAACAATTTCGAGAAACAACATAAATGTCACGCGAGACAAGGTCCTCTATGGGACACGTTAACAATATTCGGGATAGAATAGATAATTACTACAAAATCTACACAAGATTCGAGAGAACGCGAAAACAGAAAATATATAACGTAAATTAACAAAAAGACAATACGTGAACTCACGAGACACGTGGAACACGGATTGGTTCAACAATTCTCCAGGGTCAACGAGGCATTAGTCTACCCTCAATAATACATTTCGAAAATACAGAATCTAATAACTGAAGGCACGGAATCTTTTCCTGTCTGGCAAAGCGCGAACATCTCCTAGGCCAAAACTGGAGGAATAAACGAAACAGATCTATACATGCCAATGCACGGAAGCCAAGATAGAAAAGATTTCGCCCTTTAGACAAAAGTGCTTACCTAAGCGTTACAAGTCGATACTAGGTGCGGGACAGTTACTTTAGCGAGACCGGCTAAGACGGCTAACGAAGAACGAATGTCGGCACGCTCTCGAGATCGCTACCGGCACGGTCATAGACTATAAAATAGTGCCCTTTTCGGCCAATCATCGTCGAAGAAGAATTACTCACTAGGATTGCTAAGCACAATTATGGAAGTATGCCACTGGACTCAAAATATAAACTATACGAATTTACTTTAAAAGCGATATATCACCAATAACCCTTCACGAGAAGGACGCGATAAACTCGATAAATAATTGCCGGAGCCTCTTCGTGATCGCCGCTATACGATACACGGGAGGTCGGTTAAAACTTAAAAAAGCATATCCCGATAGCAGTCTAAACCGGCGGTATGACGTCACGTCTAATCGGTTGACCCGGGATCTTCGAAACTGTCACTAGCTTGCTGCAGTAGCTTCAGGTTGTCCAGGTTGCTCTGGTGATGATCTTCGTCCGGACCAGGTCGGAACGGCTAGGTGGCGGTGTTCACGAAATCTCACGCCGGGGTAGCTCCTGCTCCCCATCCTCTTCAATACCGTTGATACTCCCCCTTAGGAACATTGGTACCGGCCGTAACGAGAAGAACGAATTGGTTCATAGCATTATCTTCCTCGATGCCGCCCCCCTACTCAATTCGGGAATCGTCGGTGGCAGAGTAGAGGCGTCTATTGATTTTGGATCATCCTCCACTATCCCAGCTGTAGCCTCGTCGTGATACTTCTCCAGCGACGTGAATATGTTGGATGTTGTGGCCGAATTCATAACGCATGGTTTAACAAAAGAAATTAACCTAATGTCCGATATTTGCAATACTTGTGACCCTGGAGTTCTTGGCCGGTAATTTGCGTAACGCGAACTTAAGAGACGGCAATACATCCCGCATGATAAACACGACAGTCAATTTATTCTAGACTCGTGACGTGAAATAACGTCATAGTATATACAGGGTGTCCCAAAATTACCTGACCAACGGGGTATGGCGGTGTTCGGGAGGCACCACTGATCACGAAAATGACCTTCCTTTTGTCCGGAAGGTCATAGTTTTTAAATAGGAGCAGGTCAAAGTTGACCAATCAAAGCTAGGCATCAAGAGAAATGTAGGCACCTACGAACTCTGAGTTTTCTTCCCTGACTTTTGTTTCTCGGTGGGTTCGGGCAGGATGACGTCAGCCGAAGACATGCCTACTGGAAACAAGAAACAAGTTACCGAGAAACAAAAGCGAGGGAAGAAAACTCAGAGTTCATAGGTGCCTACGTTTCTCTTGACGCCTCGTTCTGATTGGTCAACTTTGACCTGCTCCCATTTAAAAACTATGACCTTCCGGACAAAAGAAAGGTCATTTTCGTGACCAGTGGTGCCTCCCAAACACCGCCATACCCCGTTGGTTAGGTAATTTTGGGATACCCTGTATACATCATTACCCCAATAGTAGTTCAACAATTTCGTGCTCCGATAATACTATAAATCATGTTCCCTTCAAAGCGGAATAGAAATGATAAGCTGAGATAAATTGTGTTTATATTTACTTTTCAATTATTAGTATTGTATCGTAATAACGCATAATGGAATTGAATTATCAATCGATTGTAAATAAAACCCGCAGTGCTTTTTTTCTGAACTAACCCTTATTTATAATAATTGATGTAATCACTCCAATCATTATTTTAATAATGAAATAATTTGCTGTTTAGTTTTTAATGTTTTCCTCGTATCAATCGAAAAGTTAAAATTATTCTGGGCATGTTATACAAAAACATGTTGCACGTGTTGTGAAATACTAGTTCGGCCTTCAACTGATTATTTAACAAAATAATATAAATAGTATGAATTAACAATGTTCAACATTACAACCCAAGAGTTAGTTTTGTTAGATTCATTTTTAAATCAATGCACGTCATACTTGGTAATTATTTTTATGGATATAGCCACCTGTTACATCCCAGCCAACGTATACCGTCCGGAAGTTGTCTTTTAGGGATCATAAAGATGACTTTAGGATTTATGTGCTATTTAGGACCTAAGTCTTTTCCGAGTATCCATTACTTTTATAATTATTTGTTATGTTTTAATGTAGTGTTTTGAACGTGTAATATGTTTAAAAATAGTGCAATAATAAAAATAAAAACGTGTAGAGTACATATATAATTTACGTGAAGATTGTGAAATACGTCAGGTGACTTTTTCATGGAATTGTATGATCATGATTATTTGAGGTTACTCATTGCAAATAAAACTACGTCTCTAGAATTAATCCGAATATTTGCTTAATAAGAATTTCAC